TTTCTCCGTTGCTGCCTCACCTAAATTCCTATTACCCTGTTGTTTATTAAGCAGGATGTTTTGAGTACACAAGGAATACAAGATGGGGCTAAAAATTTGTATTCTACATTCTGCACTTCTAAAATCTTCAAAAGTGGCATTGCTCATAGTTTAAAGCAGACAAGCAGCAAATACAGCACAGATAATTATAGGATATCGCTATCAGATACCAACTCTAAATGTCTTTCTATATGAAAATCTGGTAAATAGTTGAGCACTTGGATAGTTATAAAGTGGTGTTTTTCTCTAAATAGCCAGCTAATTCAAAACAACATTCAAACTAGTCATTTTATACCGTGGCTGCTGTTGAATTTTAATTAATATTTATACATAGCACCTTTTTTTTTTTCTCCTGAGGAAATCATAGAGCTTTAAGCAGGTAGGTAAGATTTACTCCTTGTGCAGACTGAGACTGGTCACCAGCCTCGTCTCTTCAAAAAAGTCAGTGCACTTCGCATTGCTGAAGAAAACCAGAAGGCAAGCTCTCATGCCTTAAGGCTATGTAAGACCTACGTAGAGGTCATAAGTGGTGTATGGGTTTTCTGATGACACTGAATGTCATTGTTGAACAACTGATCTGTAGAGTAAAGGTTGTTTAGATCATGAAACATTTTCACACTGTCACTTTTTTAAAACATTTCATGAACTCTGTGTGTGGTAGGATGGAACTCATAGTAGCTGCTTATCATTATCTACGCCCAAGTCCCTGCTACAAGTCAGTGTGGAGGAAACTACCTTGGATCCAAACCCCTTGATTGACTAGACAGGAGTTTCTCAGTGCTTTTGCTCTCCGTACGTAACCACTATACAAACAGAGAAGAACATTACAGCTTTTACATTTATTTCTCTTATGATTCTCTTCATTGTATATAGTTTATTTTATTTTGAATTACAGAATCAAATAATAATTTAGGTTGGAAGGGACCTCTGGAGGTCATTTGGTCCACTCCCCTATTCAAAACAGGGCTAACCTTAAAGACAGAGTGAGTAGCTGTATGTCAAATCCAATAAAAGTAATCATAAACAGTTTAACTGAAAATATAAAGGAGAAAAATAGATGTTTCTGTACACCCACATGGAAACATTTTTGTACTGAAATTTCCCTTCTACCAATTTTCATCACCACAGTTTAAAAAGTGTTATAATTTACAGTGTTCAGCTCCAAATGAAAAACTTATTATAAAACAACAAAATATTTAGCTTTTATATAAATCTCATCAAAAAATAAACAGTAGCTGCAGTGATGATTTTGTGATTCACGTTTCAGTGCAATTCACTTCTGCTCCTTAGGATCAGGCTAAAATCTTTGCAGGATCAATACACTCCATCAGTCTTCTGCAAGTCATAAACTGGATTTAATGCCACTTACGCCTGTTTGGCCAGGTGAAATTCCAGCAGTTCACATTAATTTAATAGACTGGATAATACTTGCCATAAATATCAAGTCTTCTCCAAATGTTTTTCACTAGAATATCCTTTCCTGATAGAGTGAGTATAGTGTATTGTGAACTAACTGTCCCTTACCCCCCTGAATAAGTACATATCAATCAGTGGATGATACTAGATATTTAATCTCTTTGTTAATAATCAAAAGCTATTTCTCTTTATTATCAAAGTTGTTAAAGTTGTAAAGAAAGTAGAATCAATATCCCAGAAGATCAAGTTACTTTTAACCAAATAGAAGACTACTTCAACTCTATTCCTGTAAAGGTTGTTATACCATCCAGAACAATTTTTACGTTTCAAAATACTTTTGAAGAGATTTAGTGGTCTTCTGTTTGCTAGCTATTTAATAATATTTTAATTAAAGAGTCTCAGTCAAAGCTACAGAAGACCATTGAATTCTTTCCTACTAAACAATTGATTCTGTATCGCAGATTTCCAGTCGGTTAGGGCCGTTTATTCAGTACTAGTATTCTTGGGAATTGCTTAGTGCTCTCAGGGTAACTAACTTGTATCGACTCGCACCAGTGTTGAATACCTTGCTGGCCTAGGACTATGGTCAACCCAGTTATGTGCATTACCTGTTTTTCTTCTTCTCCTGGGTAATATAAATACAGATGAGACACTGGGGTCAAGGAGCCAAATATACAAACAGTAAGATTAAATACAACTTTAGGAACTTCTGATCTTTGAGGGAGTTAAAATGAAGTAAAAAAAAATGAACTCCAGCATTACGTGTTGCTTTCACCTTGCCAGATCTGACAATTATTATGCTTTTAAAGGCAATTTGAATGCTCAGTAGCTGTAAAACTGGCAGAAATTCTGAGAATCTGTCACTGAATTATTTTTATTCTCCTGTCTTCTAATTCTTGTACATAATTTATAAACTGTTTTCAGAGTAACAAACTTGCTTAAAAAAATTTCAGTGAAAATAGTAACTACTTTTCTTGATCTCTAAAATACCAAATTTATTTAGAGACTGAAAAAAGGGAAGTTACATTTACTTTTGGTACTCAGGAGAATTCACTTAAGAAAGTCCTTCAGCAGAACTGAGATAATTACAAAGCTGACATATTTCCAACAATAGAAAAGAGCACATGAAGATGGGAAGGAAAAAGGAGAACTCGATAGACCTGTGCTAACAACATGGAAAACAGTGCTAACTGTGTCCGCACTACAGTGGGGCTGGCTGCTAGAGATGCCTGCGATGTCCTGGAGTCATCGCAGAGCCTGCTGATGCCAGAATTGTTTGCACCCAGAACTTGTCTTCTGCAGCACCCCTCTCCCCAAACCGTCCTTTCTGAAATCCTTCCCAATCAGTTCTGCTCAGTCCTTTTCCACTCAGCAATCCCAGAGCTGAGTCCATCTGCAACCGCGCTCAGTCCTCCCTGCGCATGGGCTCCGTCTTCAGTTCCCTTCGTACTCAAAGCCTACCATAATCCCCCCCGACGCTGATTACCTGGTGCTCTCCTTCTCTAGTTCTGCCTTTCCAGACATTTCTGCCTACCCACTGGCACCTACTGCTAGTCTCTGATCAACTGTTGTGGTCAGCTGTGCCTGCCCCGATTCTTGTTCATGAAGAAAAAAATCGTACTTGGTGCTCTGGCAGCTTGTAAAAATCCACAAAGAAGCCACATGTACTAAATTCTACGTTGGCAAAATCATGAGGTGAGGAAAAGAGGACGCATCCAGGAACACTGGCTACAGGATAAATAGCCTCGTCCGGTTGCTTTTTGGTTGTTCTGCTTAGCTCTTCTGGGTACAACCAGACTAGCAAAAATGCTGCAATTTCTTGATTCAAGTCTTATTGAGGACAGACGTTTACTTCAAATACAGCTTGGCTGAAAAAATATTTGGTGCATATGCCACCCTTTCTGCTGGGCCCACGTGTAAAATCTCAGTGGAAAATTACAAATACATTCTCATTCAGCCTTTCGTTTATACAACGCTAAGTCTCAGTAATTGTTTCTGTGGTGCTTGATTTGTCCTGGAGTAGGGCTGTAGGAGTGCTGTCCCTCAGGGAGTAAGGATCGTCATGAAAATGAGATGTGAATCTTGTCAGCTGCCTGGCGCATACAAAATTTTAACTAGATAAATCCTGGTGCAAGGAATTTTGCTGGAGCTGCTGAAAAATAATTGCAAAAGTTCTGGAAGTTGTTTTTTCCTGCTCTAATAGCAGTTGTAATGGCTCAAGATTAATTTTAGTATAAAAACAGAGGTAATTGCAGTGCTTAGAGATAATAAAAAACCCTGAGGCAAATCAGTGGAAATACTTTGAAAAGGATAATTATACCTGCATGGGGAAGGCTGTCTGTCTAATAGCATTAACCAGTTCAATTAAGGAGAAATGGAGGAAGGGTCAATCGTTAGCTCTTTAGCTATTCTCTGAAAAAGTGGTTTCAATATCTAAGCAGAAGTTAGTTTTGTCTAAGCTGACTTCCTGAGGCTTAAACATTTTAAGGACTATTCAGGGGAACTTGTATGTGGTTGTTAAGTACACCACGTCACAGACATGCTAGTGTTTTACCAGCTAAACAAGAAGAAAGGGAGTTGGGCACACATAGTTAACCTAATCTGGCCATAATCCGAATCTAAACAACCAGAAGGAGATTATTCCTAGTCAAGGGAAAACAGGACAAGAAAACGATTGTCGTTGTCATCCAGGATAGCAGCCAGTTTGGGCTACGTTACCGCTGATAAAGAGCTAGAGAAGTCTTCAGGCTAGCTGAACACAGCATGGGATCTGTTGCCGTAAAGCTTCCCCTGGGGCTCGCCGAAGGCCAGGGCCTTGGTAGCGCTTGCCTGCTCTAACGCGAACAAAGCGACGTGTGCATCTTTAAGTACAGATGCTGGAATGGATGCATGTGCGCACGCGCACCCCAGCCCCCCCCCCCCCCCCTCCTTTTTAAAAAAAAGAACATATACTTGCGTATATAAACAGGCATGGATTTCACCAGGGGGACAGAAGGAACAGAGTTTAAGAGGATTTTAATCCCTCCATGAGTGCTTATCTCTCATTTCCTTGCTGCAGCATTGGCATTGCTTCTGGCACTGTCCTTGGATCTTGAGTTGTTAAAAACCTTTTTTGTTGGTGGTGTTTTTTTTAAACTAGAAGTTCAGAGTGAGATAGGAGACAAGGGTAAAGGCTTTTTCATGCAGTTGCACAAAGCTAGTTGTAGCACTGTATAGAAAGGGCAGCACTAGCCTCTTCAGAGCCATAGCACAGGGCCAAGATTTCCTTCTCTGCCAGTGGCTATTTTGGGCTCTGTAACTAAAGCAGCCGTTCACTAGTTGGGATTGCAGAATGTAGCTTCGTTAAAATGAGCTTACCTTATATCTCTTATATAATACATATAGATAGTAGCTCAGAGGTCCTCATTCGTATTGGTCTTGTGTTTATTCCTGTATTTACTTGGAGATAGATACATAAATATATGTGCGTATATGTATAAATATACACACACACACACACACACAGAGTATTTAAAAAAAGCTTTCCAAAACAAAAAACAATGCACTGAATACATTTATTTCAGAGTAGACCCTACAGAAACTACTATGTGACTGACATTAGTCGTGTCGCTCAGGACACTACTCGCTGTCAGCCAATGCCATCTAGAGCACAAAACCACCATCACTATCACCACGTTGGCTGTATCCACAGGCTTTATGGTCCTTGAAGCAGGATCTAACTGGTTAAATCCAGTTTAAAAAAAAAAAGACATTAAAACAGGATGACATAATCAACAAAAGGATGAACAGAAATTTAAGAGTTAGAGTTTTTAAATTAGAATGAATAAAAAACATGTTTATTTTGCAAAATTTAAAAATGACATGGATTTTTTTTTATCCTTAGAAATTATTTCTAGTAAGAACATCAGTGGTGGACAGAACGTCAAACAAGCTGAACGTCATGGATCGCTACAAGGGAAATACTTGATCTGCCATATGTGAAAGAGGTATTAATGTATAGCCCAAGAGGTGATGACTGGAACAGCAGGAGAGAAATGAATACTTAACAGGAGCAATAGGAGAGTATGTTTAGTTTATTAAAGTCCAAATCTTACAATAGTTTTACATAGCTTTTTTCGAGTAAATGACATAATCCAAAGAGATGTTTCTCTGTGCTCTGTACTGCAATTAATCTTCCTTTTCTTTTTATCAGTTGCAGACACGTACCTTATCACTGCCATTAAACATCCCTAGTGCTTTTCCAACCCCGTAACAGCATGCACAGTCTGCTAGTTCTTGATGACTAGCAAGGATAACTGACCAAAACACGTTTTTCATTGGGCAGGCCTTTAATGACCATTAGATATATGAACAGCACCATAACTTAACCATGGTCTCTTCTCAAACTCAGTTTCTAAAAAGAAAAGCAGGAGCCCAAGACAGATGCGCACAAACCGTTACCTATTAACATTTTTGTTTTTAAAACAATTTAGTCACTTTGTCTCAGCTAATGAGAATTATGACCATATGCTTATATATTGCTTCCTGCTTAATGGTTTTATATTCTATTTTAATATAAAAATCTCATCTTTCATCTTAAAAAAGATTATTTTCATAAGACAAATAAGAAAACCGAAGAGATGTTAGAAGACTGTTAAAAGTCACAACATCTCCCCCAGAAAAGACTGCATGTCTTATGATTTTCAGCCTACACTAGTAAATCCTGCCTCTTATTTTCCAGAAGTTTGCATTCTAGTTAAACTAATTGCCTAGTTGAAGTAGATATAAGTAAAATGAAGAGCAGAATTTGGCCTCTATTGTTTAATCAATTATAGTTCTCTTGGCACCTTCTGTACCACTCCTTCAGTAAATTCTCAGTAATAGAGAGGACAGCCCTCCAGACAGATCCCATGACATGGAAGGAAGGGAAGATGTGCTTTACCATCCTCCAGATCGGACCTTCTTTGAGGGAGTGACACCACTAACATATCAAACGGAGAGCTTTAAGTAGCTCCACATATGTTAACTTAAGAACAAAAGTGGTTAAACAAAATTGTCATACTGATCCCAGATTTCTCCAAGACTGAGAGATACCCAGCTCCAGATTTTTGGTTCAAACCATTTTATAAAAGGCTACTTGCAAAACGGTGTGTGGAGTTCAGCTAAGTTCTGAACTTCCCTGTAACTTGGGAGAATTCAGCCTAGATACTTGGTTTTTACCTTGTCTTTTATCAGTACTAATGTTTATACTTCACTAAAAAACTACCAGCTCGGACTTGGTGCGGTAAGACATGCAGTAACTCATAAGCCCTGCTCCAAAACTTTGAATATATTATAATTGATGCCATTGCATGAAATCTAATTTTTGTGAAATGTGATACATCTGCCCCATCCCACGTATCCAAAGCTCAAGTGTTTCCAGCAAAGAAGGGAACAACAATTAGGTTAGAGATGCTTGTGTTCCAGCCACAAATACTAAAGAATGGTAAGTCTGTTCATTTTCTGTCATAAACAAACGTACAAAAAAATCCAAGCTTTTTCATTCTCTTTCCAGCATCCTATTAATTAACCTACACAAGTATTTGGATGGGGAAGGCGGGAGGAAGGGGAGCATTTTTGTGTGCGTTTTTGAACACTACAGCAGAATTTGAGATGTGCATTTAGTAAGTTATTTGCTCTAGAAGTTGCACGTTACTGAATTGTTTTTAGGATTACAAACTAGCGCCATTGAGACTAATTAAGAGAACTAAAGAGCTGACTCTTCTGGACTGCCTATATGTCTTGAATGTAACCAGTGGATTTTTAAATGCAACTAGATTAGGCTGATGAGACTTCAGACATCCATACACAGTGTGGAGACCACAACGGCCAATATTTCAATTTTTAATAACTATCATTACTTTCTTTCTAAAAATACTTTTCTTGGTGTATATGACCTACCAGACAAAAAACTCAATAGATGAGTAGGTAGCGAAGAAGTTTGGTTCTAGTGTCTTGGCCAAACTCCAACTCCAATAATTACATTCAGTTTAAATGCCCCCCGCAGCTCTAATACAGTAAAGTTCTCTTTGCAACTGGTCTTGGAACATTGTGTAGCATTCCTGTGAAGCTGTTAAACCCTAAAAATATCTCCTCCCATTACAGTTGCAAGGGGAATTTATGTAGACAGAAAACAATTACCCAAGTCTGAATTTAGGCAGAACACCAAAGTTAACTTTCTTACGTTTGCATTGATATCACAGGATCTTTGCCGACTACAAGCGTCGCACCCTCGTTGAAAAGCACGAATGGGAATAGCTCACTGTGCTGTCTGAATACAGTGTCAGGAACTTGGCATCTGTGCACCTGGAAGTAACTGTGTTAATGTTTTCTAACAAACGATTCTGTATAAAAGCCTCTGATGTTGTAAAGTAAGGACCTTATCACAACCTGACTTGGTTAATTTAGCAATAGTTATGAAATTAATTGTTTATGAAAAAAGTTCTACTGACTTTAAAAAACACTTACTTCTTCAAAAAATTCTTTAAAAACAGAAAACCTACCTTAGCTTATTTGGGTCACACAGCAAGTATTCAAGTTTCAGTAGCTAGACATACCAAAGGACACTCAAAGTATTTAAGCAAGCTGAACCAGGCCCACAGTATCAGTGAAACTATTCTAAATTATGCTAAATAGACAGTTACAACAATTTTCTTAGCTTCTGAACTGGGACTCCTTTCTTTGAAAGATGTTAAGAACTAGCTTCTAAATGAATTTATACCTAAAAGTTAGTCATTCTTAAACCAAAATCATTCAAAACAATCACTAGAAATTCTAGAAGTCACCAGCAGTTCCCTAGCAAAAGGGAAGACACTCTCCAAACCCACCCGCACACACCGAATCAGTTTGCAATTTTTACTTTTGTTGTTGTTGGTATCGTTGAAGTTGCATCTCTTTTTTTCAGATTAAGGCAACTGTAAATTTGGTCGTCTTCTCGTTTCACCCATTTCTTTAATCTCAACTTTTTTATATTTTCCTGTCCGCCGCCACCTCAGGATAACCAGCACAGTAACCCCAAAGACAATAGTCAGTGTGACCACTGACAGCACAGCACTAACACCAGCAATCATACGTCTTGCGGAAAACTCTGGTGGCTTTTCATCAACATAGTAAATAAGTATTTTTTCAATAGCCAGAGCTTCTCCATTAATAGAGACATTAAATGTACTGGCAGAATGAAATATGGAGTTGTCTTTTATATCCTTTTCAAAGTAATAAGCTACATCAGCGATATCTACATCGTTGTCAGATTTCTCAAAGTCCTTTTGACTTAGGCGGATTTGGATAAAAGGAGAATTATACTTCACACCTGCGATGTACTTTGGATGCAGTTTGTATCGGTTCTGAAACAGATGTTCCAGGGCATTTGCTACTTCGGGATCTTCAAAGGCACTGGACATTTTTTTGTGCTTCAGTTCAATGTAGATCCAGCTTGTTCTAACCAGTTCACTGCACCTTAGGCTTTTATCCCCCTTTTCAGTTCTTCTTACTCCAGCAGTGTTCACACACCAGCAAGTATCAGTCTGATTGCACTGCCTGGCTTTGAAGACACCACTGTCCTCACAGTCCGGATTGTAAATGCCATCGTTATCTACAAACCCATTGCGAGGTCCATGGAAACGCTTGCCCTTGCGGGGGATCATCTGTGCCTTCATAAGCAAGCATTTTGAAGTCAGCGTTGAACAATTTACCCTGTGATTTGAACCTACTAGCGTGCAGGTGCAAATCCCAGCTACGTCCTGCGTGCATACCGTCCACTTATTTGTTGCACAGGTACAACCCTCCTGCCCCGATGAAGCTACCACCAAAACCAACATCAGCAAAATTCCAAACTGAGATTCCATATTACAGGTAGAAAGTGCAGAAGAAGTCCGAAGCAATAGCAGGCACTATCTGAAGCTTAAATCCACAGAGTCTACTGGTTTCTACACGCCGGTGTGCTGCTCCCTTTTTCAAAATTCAAATCAAACCTGACAGACAAGCTCTCCTTCCAAAACAACTGGCCCCTCATAATACACAAATCCCAGAGAAGCTGCACCTTCATCAATTACTTTTCAGGGAGTGGCACTGATTCCTCAGATGCCTGCCTTCCCTCCTACTTAATGATGGAACAACAGAGAAGAGACAAAGCCAACATGAAGCATAGTTCCTACCTTGGACTTCCCTGATGGATTACAGCACAAAGCACCACCTATCTGTTTTCCTTCTTTAGACTTTCAGGGTATGCATGCAAATGTATCTGTAAGGAACGTGCATTTGCACATAGGTATACATTAGAGGACAGATCATGAGAGGAAGCAAAAAGCAAGCAGAGGTAGATCTCAGAGGACCAGCCTCTCCCAGAAGCCTCTTTGTCCTTCCAGTTGTGGGGTCAGAACATAGTGAGCCAGAGTGGGATGAAGGAATCTGTATTGTTAGTATGTGGTGGCACTTCTTTGTGCTTTCTAAGGGACCAGTAGATGTTGTTCAGTTACTCTGACACTAATATCTACGTGGAGATGAGAAAAGGGTCCACCAAACATGAACAAATTGATGTTACTAAGCTTCCTCAAGGAGTTGTAGCAGGACAGACTAACAGTCTCTAGAAAGATTGCTCCATAGGGCAGTTACTGCTACTCCCATTTCTCTTGGGCAAATCCCACTCCTTAGCTAGGACATTCCCACTCCTCCACCTCCTTGTATGATGGAAGGTAACAGGCAAAATCATAATCTCCTGTATCATTTCACTGTCTGGTTTCTTATTCATTACAGGTTATCACCTGCCTACTTTCATTTATAAAATAAAATCTTTTTTTAATGTATGCACTAACCAAATGCTGCAGTAGCTGCCAGTTCAGGTCACAGGTGGAGCGGCTGTTCCTCAGTTTGCTGACTGCTCTCCTACTTACAGGGCACAGGAGTGCATGCTCATCTTCCAACGTGGAAAGCTCGTCTCTCTGCCTTCCTTTGACACATATTCATCCCAAGACAGTACTATGAATGACAATTTTCACGCATGTATTACCCTTACAGAATTGTTAGCAGTTTCTGAAGAAATTTTTCAATCTGAAAGTTGAGTAATGCCTTCCACAGTACCTTCCAGTAGCTCCCAAGTGTCCTAATGATCTACAAACCATGAATCACAGTTTCCATGTTTTGGCAGCAACTGAAAGATATTTTTCCGTTTGCATTAAGCAGGTACGGCATCTGATTTGCCAAACACCGTCAGACACTTTGTAAATCATTGTTTTGGGACCAGTAATGACCACAGAACACTGTATGTGCCATTCTCCCATCCGCATAGCTTACAAACTGCGTTATTGCATTCAGTTCCTTTTACCTGTACTGGTTTCTTCCGAGGGCCTGCCCTGCTTTAGATCACCTACTTGTAAATTGTGACTTGTGTCTACGTAAACAGTAGGGAGTTAAACTGGCTGCCAATGAGTACTTACAACATAACATAGATGTAAATTAAAACTCTGGATGCAAGTACCCTCTACCATTAGAGAAAGGCATAATCTGGAGCACAGCTTTGCAGCTGGACCTATTCCTATTTCTAAACAAGCCACAGATATACAGCCTACTTCGGGGTGTGAAGATGAGGCAAGTTCCTTAATTTATTCCTGTCTCCTTTTAGGACCAGGGAGCACATCACTGTGCCTCCGCGTTTTATTCTTCCTTCAGATAAAAATAATCATAGGTAACCTATCTGAGAAAATAATTGAAATCTACACTTAGAATTGTTACAAAAACTGTTAGAGGTTTCAAATTCAGGATTCTTCAATAATAGTTTAGTATGTCTTAGTTCTTTTCCCATCTTTATTTTCTGTCACTCATTACCTCTCTTTAATACAAGCACTACTTTTTTTT